TTAGGTCCCAAGCCAGCTTTCTATGCCAAAAATATGCCTATAGTGCCTGTCAGAGGTTGGCCAGCCACTCCTGTAAGGAGGAACTCACTAGAGTAGTTCTCTATTTGGGCCTCCTAGCTGGTACCCAGGCTTTATCCTACCAACTTCCTCCAGCACCCTGGGATTTGACGAGTTGAGGGGCAGAAGTGAACTTAGCCAGCCATTAAACAAAAGCAGTAACAACAACGAAACACTGCCATCAAGTTGATTCTAACTCATAGCAACCTTACAGGACACAGTAGAAATGCCCCATACGGTTTCAAAGACTGCAAATCTTTATGAAGCAGACTGCCTCATCTTTCTCCTGCGGCATAGGTGGTATGTTCAAACCACTGACATTTTGGGTAGCAGACAAATGCCTCAGCCACTGTACCACCAGACTTCAGACATTACAGACAGTTTAATACCTGGCTTGAGCTAGCTAGGTCCATCTCTTATCTCTCTAGTCACCACTGGACTAATCATTCCTTATGACCAGAAGCTCAGAAAATCTAATTACCAGTAAATTAAAGAACCAGTACAGAAAAAACATATTCCTTTGGTTAACACTAGTTTTATCCCTCTCAGGAATGAAATGCTGTTTCATGCTTTGGAATTGAGACTGTTGCTACATAAAGAAAGGGCTAGTACACTTTGTCAGGAGCTCTGGTAGTATAGTGCCTAAGGCACCTGACTGCTAACCAGAAGGCTGGCAGTTTAAATCCACCAACCACTCCTCGGAAGGAAAGATGAGCAATCTACTTCCGTAGTGATACTGCCTTGGAAACCCAAAGAGGGGTTGTTATGAGTCGGGTCTGACTCAACGGCACATAACAACAACAACAGTTCACTTTGTCAAGATAAATCTTTAGTCTGGGTCCTTAAAAGGAAGAGAAACAAACACTCTCAAATCTGAAACCTGGTTTTAAATCTTAGCACTTAGGCCCTGGGTATGTCTCAAATCCTCTGAACTTCCTCAATCAAAAATTGGGAATATTAATACAACTTACCTCACATATATGAAACTCACTGCTCTTTTGAATCACAGCCACTTATCAAAAAGTACTGTATCAATTTTTACATATGAGATATTTAAGGCTATTCAGTTTTAAATTATCTACTTACAGCACAAATAGTGAAGTGAGAAATGGAACCACGGTGCTCAGTATAGCATGGGCTTTGAACTCAGCCAGACCTAGGTTGGAATCTGCACTTTTCCACTTACCAACTGTGGAATCCTAACCTCAGTAGCCTCAGTCCGCTAATTTAAAAAATGTGGTTACCACCATCTAACTCATAGGGTTGCTATGAGAAATAAATGAGATAATGAAGAAAAAGAGCTTTAAACAGGGACTGGTATATGGTAAGCGCTCTATAAACAGTGGAGTATTTCCTACTGAGAACTCAACCCCTAAGCCCTCGTCTATCTACCTCTCCAAAACAAAACAAAACAAAAAAACTGTTACCAGCCCAAATTATCTCCTAATTTATAGGATGAGTAATAATGAAACTAGACAAAAGAAGAAACCAGAAAAGAAAATGAATGAACTCATGGCCACAATTTCAGCCTGTATCATGTTAATGGCTACTGATATTGGAAAACACAGGTATAATAACCTGAAGAAATAATTCAGGGTGTACATTCTTTCTAAAGAAGTAGAGAAGAGCACCAACTCCATTTCAGCTACGCTATCCACTACCTTTTTATAATCTGGCTTCACAGTAGAATCTACCTACCAAGCAGAAAGTGCTACAGGGAGGCAACTCTGTTGCCACATACAAATCATGGCTATTTTTGTAAATCCAACCTTTATGTTTTCAGCTCACCCCCATCTCTATCATAAAGACTTCACTGACTCCCCCTAGCTGACTCAGGTGCTTCTCTCATGCCCCACTGCTCTTATACTGTAATTACCTTGTATTGTAATGGGCTATTTACATGTCTCTCCACTAGATTGTAAATTTGTAAAGATCCAGCTTTACTCATCTTTGAACCCCAGTACGTGACACACCGCTGTGTGCCTTGCAGTGGATTCTGACCAATAACAACCCTAAAGGACAGAGTAGAACTGCCCTACAGGATTTCCAAGGCTGTAATCTTTACGGAAGCAGATTGCCAGGTCTTTTCTCCCTGCTGTGGAGCAACTGGAAGTGCTGACCTTTCCGTTAGCAGCTAAGCACTTAACTATTGCACTACCAGGGTTCCTTTGACCACAATCTCCACTGCTGTCTTATCAATTCTGACTCATAGCAACCCTATAGGACAGAGCAGAACTGCCCCGTAGGGTTTCCAAATCTGTAATCTTTACAGAAGCAAACTGCCACTTCTTTCTCAAGTGGAGCTGCTGATGGGTTCAAACCCCTGGTGGTTTAAAGCTTAGCTACTGTGCCACCAGGGCTCCTTTGAGGAGACCTGGTATTGGAGTGCCTAAGGCATTTGACTGCTAACCAGAAGTTGGCAGTTCAAACCCACCAGTTGTTCTGTAAAAGGTAGATGGGGCAATATACTTCCATGAAGATTTAATGCCTCGGAAACCCTGTGAGGGTAGCAATGAGTCAGAATAGACTCAATGGCAGTGTTTTAAACACCCTCATTATTACATGTTAAATGATGGATTTCAGTCTCTTTCACTAGTTAAGGCTGCTAAGAAAACAGCTGGGACATTAGTAGAATTTCACACACAAACTAAGGTCTGCTAGATCAGACTCCTATTCTTTTTGGAGCTTAAAGGGATGACTGTTCCTGCTTCTCACAGTTACTTTCTTAAACACAGAAAGAAACTGATAGGACCATTTCGCACAGAATTTTCAGACAACAGATTATATATTCTTTCTCAGTGAATGGAACAAATAACAAAATTTTGGGGGTAAAATACAGGTGGTTACATACAAAACCCTCTAGGCATGACTTTGGAGAGTGTATTATAAAGATTGTTGTTGCTGTTGTTATCATAGCAACCCTTCCTTGGGTTTCCGACGCAGTATCACTATGGAAGTGGATTGCCCCATCTTCCTTCTGAGGAGTGGTTGATGGGTTTGAACCACTAGCCTTCTGGTTAGCAGTCAAGTGCCTTAGGCACTATGCTACCAGAGCTCCCAAGATGCTCTTAAATCATTAAAACAATGAGGGAAGAAAAGCTAAGAAGGAAAAATGTCTCACATTAAAATTTTAAGTTATTTTCTTCCCTGCCAAAACTTTTGCTCTTTATCTCAATGAATTCTGACATATATAACTAAAATCAGATTTACTCAAAAAGAGGCTCATAACAAACCATACGCAGTAACTTCAAAATAGCACTTACCCTTTTCAAAGTGCATTCCAATATATCTCAATTAACTACAGCTCTGCAATCACAGAGACTCAGAGCTGGGAGGGTCTTAGATGTCATTCCTGCAATCACCCCACCTATCAACCAGTATCCAAATAGTTCTTTGGTGATTAGGGCCCAAAGGTCTAAAACACTTCTTTAAAAATCCCTTATCTAGGAGTAGGTACTACCGAAACAACAAGTTATCCCAATGACCTTGCTGTGACTACTTGTCAGTTTCTCAAGTCTCAAAACCTCCCCTTAATAAACCAAACCATATATACCAACTTCTCCAACACATCCCACCACCAAGCCCGTCTTTGCTTCCCAAGTCCTTATAGTCCCTTTCTCTGAGTCTCAACCCCAACCTTCCACACTAAGACACACCCAAAAACCAAACCGACTGCCATCAAAGTCAATTCCAACTCACAGTGGCCCTTTAGGGCCAAGCAGAACTGCCCATAGGGGTCTCCAATGCTGTAAATCTTTATAGAAAGCAGACTGCTTCATCTTTCTCCCACAGTGAGGCTGGTGGATTCGAACCACCAATCATTTGGTTAGCAGCCTAATGCTTTAACCACTACATTACCACAGCTCGTTAACACACACCCAGGGGCCGCTACAATTCTGACTATTCATACATCTCCCTGGTTTAATCCCCAACAATCCCTTCTCTCCTTTTCCTCTGTGCTGTCTCTGGCCACTATCCTGTGCAAGGCCATGAGCATCCCTAACTATGAATGCCCCTTTGGCCTCAGAACCTTTACCCCTTCCTTTCTCACCTTCTCTCTCTGCTTCTCAACACTGTCCCTTCTACAAATTCAATGTTTCGTTTCTCCTGATTCTTCATGGACACTCCTAATTCAACGGGCCTGTCACTGAATGTCTATTAGCTAGGAAAAGGGAACATACACCCTCAAAGAGCTAGAGAGATAAATAGAGAATCATTTATCTTTTAAGGAAAATCATCTGCTCATCCTCTGGAAAGGCTTCCCCAGCCAAAACAATTGGTCTCTCTCTTCTCACCTTTGATGCAGTGATAATTTTGTATCCCTACCATCTAGCTCAGTAGCAAAGGTGATACTTAATGTTTGCTAAATGAGTGCATGGATGAATTCCGATATATATTCAATCACCCTTTCATTCATTGACCAAAACTTTGAGCACAGAACTATACAAAATCCTAGAATATAAATATAAGAATTGAAATAGTTTCTACCTAAAAATAATTCAAAGCTTTAATACTAGATTAACACTCTTTCCTTTCCCACCCTCTTCTTCCCCCCGCACACACCCGAAGCCTCGACAGCTCTCTTTTCCACAGTGAAAGCCTGGCCTTTCCTCTCCCCTCCAACTCTTCAGCTTCCTCTCAACCCTATAGCCCTACCCTAGGACCCTTTCCTAATAATCTACATATTTTACCATTCTCACCCTTCCAGGCTCTCTCTTGATCTCCATCTCCACCCCGAAGTTACAATAAATTTTCTAACCCCATCCGCCTAGGGGTCTCCCGAGTCTGGGGTCTCTAATTTCCCTTTCCGTGCACCCACCCCACAAGTCAGCCTCTTTCTGAGGGCCCCATCTCTCCTAGGATCTCCTCTCCCAATACATCAGCTCCCCTCTCTTTGGTTTCAGGCTGAGTCTCTCTTCGACTAGTCTCTCAACTCTCCTTACCTCATCTAGCTCCCGTTCCCCAGCAGCACCTCCTCCAACCTCCAGCTCCACCACTGCCGCCATCTTTACGGTTCGCCCCCTCCCCTCACTCCCCGCGCGAGCCAGCTGCTTCCGCCGCTCAAGTACTCCTAGCCAATCGACGCCGCAGGCTCTGGCAGAGGGGGCGGGGTACCTAGGCTGGTGGAGACCTGTCAGGAACTAAGAGACCATCTGCTTGCTACTCACTTCAGAGTGAGGGAGGGACCATTCCCGTGCTCTACCATCCTTCAGGACGGGAAGGATGTTGGAAAATAAGAAATTTGTGTTGTATTATTTTCAGTGGAAGTATTTCACTAGTTCACCCTTTTAAGAGCCAAAAGGAGAGGATTACTAAAAGGACAACTTTCGAGACGCTCCCTCACTCAGGGCTCCGAGGAGTGAGGCGTGGAAGCTAAAGACTACGTTTTCCAGGATGCCTGGACTCTGAACCGGAAGTTTAAATTCCCCTCTCTCAATGGGTAGTGAGTGAAAATACATATAAACACACACAACTGTTTCTTACTGACTGTAAGTCCTGTGTTGCTGGTTTAGTGGGAGTAGTGTTTTAGAAATAATAGCGTCTTGAGGCCACGGGACGAATTCTCGTGTTTTGGTAGGCGGAAGAGAGAGGCTTAGGGTCAGAAGGCAGAGGTCAGAGAGACAGAAAAAGGCGGGAGAATTAGTTTCTGGTCCACGATCTGGAGCAGCGATGGCTCTTCGAGGTTCATTGTTCCCGGTGAGGGGGAGTTGGGGTTGGTTGATGGAGAATGGAGTAGCTGACAAGGAAGAGGGTTGGCTTTCAAGAAGGTGGGCAGAGCAGTTTGTTCTGAGGAGTCTCGGAGGTCGCCGAGAGGCTTAGGCTTCCGAAGCTGAGAGCTGGAGAGCCTTGCGGGACCTATACTGCCCCCATACTGTACTTCTTATGCGCTCAGTCCTCGGGATCCACTTCACACATCTCGGTACTCTTTCCTACCCTACACCCTGCGCCCCAGCTTCTTCTCTTATCACCTTTCTAGACGCCTTACTCACTGTGCCCTACCCCCACCTATTTATTCGTATCTGATTCCAATACCCTTTTATTTATACATCTGGACCCAACACCGTATATGTAAGCCCTTGCTTACATTCCCTCAGTAAATAGGCCTAGAATGACCTGTTGGGCGTGTAAAACTTCTAGAATACCGGTGAACTTCATTTTGAGGCTAACAAAAGTTATAGGGTATTATTTACAGCATCTACTGGCATCTTTTTCTCTTAAACTGAGAATCAGTTTTATTATGTGAAACTATAATACAGAGAATATTACAAATACTGTATACCCATCACCTCACATTGTTTATTGACATCAGAATCTATTTGCTGCGGCTTTTTTTTTAGAAGGTAAAATATTACAGATGAAAGTTGCACGTACCTGTATCTTCCACTCCCAGGTCCATTATCTGGTTATCCTTCCCAGAAGCAACTATTAACATGAATTAGCTGCGTATCTTTACAGTCCATTTTTGAAAAATTTAGATGTATATCCATAAACAATATATAATATTGTTTCATTCTGGGTTTTAATGAACATAAGTACTATTTTCTGTTATATAATTATTTCACTCTATTATTTTTGCGATCCTTCAGGTTTATGTATATTTACATCTAATTCATTCCTCTTAACTGTTATGCAGCATTCCATTGTATGATAGATACTATTTTATGGTCTTTTTGCTATTAGAAACGTTGTATACTTGTCTTTTTGTGTACATTTTGAGTCTCTAGAGTGTGCTGTTAAAATACAGTAGCTACTAGCCACATAAGGCTATCACACTTTTGAAATGTGGCTGGTTAGAATTGAGATGTGCTGAAAGTACATTCAAAGGAAAGTTAATATCTCACTAATTTTATATTCACTAATAATTTTTATATATTCTATTGAAATGGTAATATCTTGAGTATATTGGATTAAATAAAATACTTATTAAAATTAATTTTATCTGTTTCCTTTTAAGGAGCTCTGGTAGCGCAGGGCCTAAGGCCTCTTACGGCTAACCAGAAGGTTGGTGGTTCAAACCCACCAGCCACTCCGTGGAAGTATGATTGAGCAGTCTCTTTATACAGATTTACTGCCTGTACTTGGGGGTCACTATGGGTCAGAATCGACTCAGTGGCAGTGGGTGTTTTATTTCCTTTTAGTTTTTTTTAATGTGCCTCCTAGAAAATTAACAGCATATGTATGGTTTACATTATATTTCTATTGGAAAGGGCTGCTCTAGACTATATACTTAGATGTGGAATTACTGTGTCAAAGGGTCTGTACATTTTCTCACTATTACCAAAAAAAAAAAACCCAAACTCACTGCCATCAAGTCAATTCCAATTCATAGCGACCCCCACTGGATTTCCAAGGCAGTAAATCTTCACAAAAGTAGATCACGCCTTTTCCTTCCACTGAGTGGCTGATAAGTTTGAACCACCAACCTTCTGGTTAACAGTCAAATGCCTTAGGCACAGTGCCACCAGAACTCCTTTTTTAATTAATAGACACTGGTAAATTACTCTCCAAAGAAGATTGTTTGTCCTTGTCTTACTGATTTGTGGTGTTTTAAGAACTGTGTTCTAAATACTATCCAAGTTTTAGATGTTGCAAATAATGTCTTAAAGTGAGTTACTTATATTTTAACCTTGTTTATGCTGTCTCAAAGTTTTATTTTTCATGTTTCTGTCTTTACTCTTTTTGGGTATAATTTTTTAAATATATCTGTCTTGAAATAAATATAGCCAGAATGCTTCTTAGAAAGGAGGATGGCAAGACTTTGTCTTACATGCTTTGGACATGTTATAAGGAGGGACCAGTCCCTCAAGAACATCATGCATGGTCAGTGAAAAACAGGAAGACCTTGAGTGAGATTGATAGACAGTGCCTACAACAATGGGCTCAAATATAGCAATGATTATGAGGATGTTGCAGGACCAGACAGGGTTTCATTCTGTTGTACATAGCGTCACTATGAGTCGGAATCAACTTGACAGCCCCTAACAACAGGGATCTACTTTTCTTTTCACATTGCGAACCAATTTTCTGAACACTACTTATTCATCTTTTTCTAACAGAATCATGATGATGCTTTGTCATCTATATAATCAGACTATCAGGTTTTAAGTTCTCACTTATATGCGTCTGTTTCTGGAATCTATTTGCCTGTTTCTAAATAGTATGTTCTGATTAATATAACTAGGAGCTCTGGTAGCATAGTGCCTAAGGCACTTGACTGCTAACCAGACTGGCAATTCAAACCCACCAGCCACTCCCTGGAAGGAAGGTTGGGCAATCCTACTTCCGTAGTGATACTGCCTCGGAAACCCAAGGAGGGGTCGCTATGAATCGGGGCCGACTCGAAGGCATATAACAACAACAACAGCAGCCACTCCTTGGAAGGAAGGTTGGGCAATCTACTTCCGTAGTGATACTGCCTCGGAAACCCAAGGAGGGGTCACTATGAGTCGGGTCCGACTCGATGGCAGACAATAACAAATTAATATAACTAATTTTTTAAAAGGAGTTAATAATGCCTGCCTCTTTGATCATTTTAGTGTTATGTTATCAATTTGTGGCCCTATATTTGATGAGTTTCCCATGTTTGCCAGAAGTTTCTGTTGAAATTGTGATTGGAATTATGTTTATTTAATAAACTAGTCCCTTAGTGGATGTTTTCTGTACTTCTAAGTTCCCTGTCGTTGTTGTTGTTAGTTGCTGTCAAGTCCATTCTGACTCATGGTGACTCCACGTGTGCAAAGTAGAACTGTTCCACAGGGTTTTCAAGGCTGTGACCTTTCAGAAGCAGATCGCCAGGCCTGGCTTTTGATGCATCTCTGGGTGGGTTTGAACCACCAGCTTTTTTGCCCAAGTAGTCAACTTCTTAACTATTTGGAGCACACAGGACCTCTCAATAGATGTTTACTGATGCCTCTGTGCTTCTGCACCTCTTTGAGGTATGGAAGATGATGAACATGACAAACACCTATATTCTCAAAGAGTTCACTATTTAGTGGGAAGACACAGAGGATAAACAAGTAATTACAAAAAAGCAGGAATAACTGCATTTAAATAAGGTCAAGCAGGCCTAAATGAACTTAATCCTTTCAAAACTACAAGCAATTTTATAGATGGTGATCTCCTTGAGCAAAAAAGATTGTATAGGTCATATTCACTACTGTGTATCCAGCACCTAGTATAGTGGCTAGTACCTATCAGGCACTGATTAAAAGAATTGAGCAAAATAGCCACGATTGTCGGCTTCAAGGTCCCCAAGCCAAGAGTGTAGTTTTGGAGCTGGCTAAGTCAGACATCTATATGTTGTGATGAGAAATGGTAGAGTTCTTCACATCAAATCACAAATGTATACTGAATTTCTCCAAAACAGAGATCACATCTTACTTATTTTTGTATTTTTAATATCTAACATAAACCAAACCAAACCCCTACCATTGAGTCAATTCCAACTCATAGTGACCCTTTAAGACAAAGTAGAACTGCCCTATAAGGTTTCCAAGGCTTTATGTCTTTATATAAGCAGACTGGCTCATCTTTCTCTCATGGAGTGGCTGATGGGTCTGAACCGCCAACCTTTTGGTTAGCCTGCAAATGCTTTAACCACTGTGCCACCAGAGCCAGCATAGAGTAGGCAAAATCATTGGGTATTCCAATAGTGAAAAATCAACCCTAATTAATCTGGAAGTCAAGAGAGGTGACTGAGAACTCATTCCAGTCTTTTCTCTTTGAAGCCCTGGCTCCATATGGACTGCCCTGTGAGTAATGCTTGGCCTTCACAGTTCACTAAGCATTTGCTGCTGCTGTCATAGCAGTCAGCCCCACTCTGAGCACTCCTTAACTACTGACTCTCCAGCCCTTTGGAGGTAATTTTTATAGTCATTCGTTCAGCAGACATTTGCTAATCAGAAACTATATGTTTCTTACATTGAGGATACAGAAATGAATCAGACATGGAGCCCAAGAGTTTAGTTTGTTAAGGGACACAAACATACTCCCAGATAATTGTAACACAAGGTACTCTACTAAGTGCTAAGTGAGAATTAAGAGGATGAAGCTGTTACCTTGAGCTGTTTTAAGCAGAGGGGAGGTGACATTTGAGCATCAAGAATGCATTAGATTTCCTAAGTATGGAAGGGAAAGAGTATCCCAAACAGAGACATGAGCAAAGTCTTGGAGGTGGGAAGAACATATTGCAGAGATGGAGGGGAGAGGGAGACAAGATGACCATTATGGCTGGGAATATATCATGGACTCCTATTTTCAGGGACTAGGTGTGTAACAAGGAGCTCTGGGGGCTCAGCGCCTAAGGCATTTGACTGCTAACCAGAAGGTTGGTGGTTCAATCCATC